CTGGGGACACTTCGATCTCCCTGCAGGTACTCCCAGGGCCTCAGAGGAGCTGCTCTGTGCCAATTCTGTGAGGTCTGGGAGGTCATGGCATGGGAGGAGCAGAGCACCCCCAGAGCTGGGAGAATGGAGGGCTCTCCCTCATCTCCTGTGCCCCTGCCACGTTTCCTCAGAATCTCAGGATGTTGTCTGGGACTGACAGCGAGTGTCCGGTGATGGATGCTCAGTGTAGAGAGGGGCCAGGCTGTGTGGGACATCAGCCCTTCTCCCACCCCTGTCACAGGAGCCCCTGGAGACATCAGCTCCCCAACCACCCAGCCCTCAGCTGGTGACTAGAGACCGCAGACTCAAGGGGTTTCCTGGGGGGCTCTGTGCTGGGGATCAGGCTCCAGGGTCCAGCCCTTTACCCAGGCTTGGATTAGGAACTCATAAGACCACAGCAAGGGGCTGACACCCGCAGGGCACTGGGGTGTCACTCATATTCATAATGACCATGATTGAACTAACTCCAAGCTTGGTACTGTGACAGCAGTCAATGCCAACCACAGCCCAATGTGGGAGGTGCTCCTCTCACCTTCCAGGAGGCCCTGCTCTTTTTAATATGCAGAAAGAAACTCAGACACTATGGGAGAGAACAGGATCTATTGATGGTTATGCCCGAACAATGACATAAGATCACCAAGAGGAAGAGAGACCTCTTCTCGCAGGGTCTTGACTCTGCTGGTGTGGGTGGCACACGGCAAATGTCTCTCACTGTCTGTGTCTGCCTCTCTCTGTGTCTTTCTCTCTCCTTCTCTCTTTTTCCCATTTTTCATTCCCTGAAGACTAAAGGTTCAGGGCAGAATCCCCATGACCAGACTGCAGGGTTCAGGGTTAAAATTCCAGCCCTGCCAGTCTCCAGCTCGGTGCCCTCAGGTGAATCACTATTTTCTATGTCCCAGTTTCCTCCTGTGCAAAATGCACAATAAAAGTACGGACCCTCCAGCACAGTTTAGAGGAGGCGGGAGTTCATGTACACAGGGCACGGCACTCAAATCAGTGTCTGCCGAGTGGGACAGTCGGAAGAAGTCCTGCTCATATTACTACAAACATTTCCCTCGCATCTTGTATGTGCCATGCACTGACCCGCTGAGGGACTGATGCACATGGTGAATGAGGAGAAAGGGTCCTGCCATCCCCAACTTTAGAGGGGAGAATTAATTAGCAGGAACAAAAGAAATGCACATATGTATACATGTGCTTGTAAAAATATGTAATTTACAATGTAAAAACTTCAGATCTATAATTTAAATTATATTATATATTTTGTTGTATAGTAAATATATAATATAATGAAATACATTGATATATTATTACAAATGAACATAGAGTGCATTATATATTATATAATGTTATACAGTATATTATATCATGTATTACTAAAATTAATATATATGTAAGTGTTAACATAAATATGTACCATATACTATATAATAAATATCTATAGTTGATATATAACATATAGTATAAGTATTTTAAATTATATATAATTTAAAATATTCATATAAAAATTATACATATATGTTAAATCACGTAATTTAAATATATTTAAATTTATTATAATTATTATGTATTAAATATATTCACATAATATATAGTATACATTAAATATATAAATATTATACAAATATATAAATATGTTATATTATATATTACACATTTATTGCATATATACATAAATTTAAATTGTGGTAAATGTCGTAAAGGAAAGCACAGGCAGCGACGGTGTTAGAACAGCGAGTGGGGTCTTGTGTCGTGGATCTTGCACAAAGGTTGAGGGAAGGACGCCCGGGGAGGTGAAATTTTTCTGCCTTTCTTAAAGGACTTTGAGGACTCAGCCTCAGAAGGAACGGGAGGGGTGCGGTCTGTCCAGAAGAGGGAGTATGGGGGCTCGCATCCTGCGCATGTTCGAGCCGAGCAGGACCTCACTTTGACCGCCTGTGAAATGGTCTGTGGGGCGCATTATACAGAAGGGGTGAACGGTAAAGGAGCCGATAGACGGACAGCGCATGCGCCCAGCCCAGGCTATGGCTGGTGCCATCGACTCGCCCGCCGGCTACCTGCAGGGCTTCAGACAACCGGAGCACATGAGCTCTTGGCTTCTTCTGTAACAGAAGAGCGGTTCCAACCCCATCAGGAGCTGCTGTGAGAAACAGAAGAAATCAGAGATGGAGATTCCTGCGCTTGGGGTGGGAACCCACAAGGAGGTCAGCAAGGGGAGGTTCCAGCTCCCTATTCCTCCTGGGTGTCCTCTCTATAAAGATGCCAAAGGATGGAGAGCAGTGCTTTCCAGTACCACCATCTCTGGGAAGGAAATGCTGTATATCTGTGTCATGCAGTGAGACTGTCATTACCCAGGAGTGGATGCTGAGCCCTTGAAATGAGGCTAGAATCTGACTTTTAAATTTATTTAACTTCAATTTCAATGGAAACAGTGGATACCATCTTGGACAGCACAGACGTAGAACATTTCCATCCTCCCAGAAAGTTCCACTCGGCACACTGTTGTAGAGGGAGCAGGTGCAGGTTCAGGAAGCAAGGAAGACCTCCTGTGGGGGGTTCTGGAGACTCAGCCTTCTCTGTCCAGCTCAGGCCTCTGACCTATGTCTTCCTGATTCCCCATTCCTAGGAGACACCGAGACGAATTCGTATGACAGTGACAGTAACAATAGCGGTGAGTGGTGGGGACAGAGGAGCATGAAGCTGGTGTGTGCCTCTTGGGAAGGGGGAGAGAATGGGCTTCAGGAATGATCATATTCCAGCTCTGCTGTTGCCCTGTGGACAGAGGACTTCAGCACTCAGGACCCCGGTTTTGTAAAATGGGGATAACGATTTCCATGTTGCAGGACTGTTATGTATGTGAGAGATTTTATATACAAGCACCCAGCATATGTGTGGGATGTAGTAGGTGCTTAGTAAATGCATGCTGCTGATAATCTGCTTTCATCTTCCCTGCTCCCCCAGGCCTGTCGACACAGTATGTTTATATCCTCCTTGTGGTCGCTGGGGCCTTTCTCATTTGTTTATTCCTCCTGGTCCTCTTCTTCCTCTTTCGTCGGCATCGGAAAAAACTTGGTAAATCTCAGGGAGAGGGTGGGGTGAGCTGAGCAGGCTGTCTGGGGTGCTGGGAAGAGGGTCTCTCTTCTTAATTCACACCCTTGGCTGTCCTCAGGGCTCCCCAGCAGCAGAGGCAAGGAGCAGAGGCCCCAGGAGAGGTGAGGCCCCTGGGAATGACCCCTGGACCCCCTCCTAGTCCTCTGCCTCCAGGCTGCCCCCTGTGCTCACTTGTTCTTTTCCTGCAGGCTCAGCCCGGCTGTTGACATCCTAGGGAGGACACCAGGTAAAGATGAGGAGAGAGGACAGGCCTGGGAGAGGGGAAGTGAGGCCTCACAGCCATTCAGGATGCAATGGGAGGAGGGAGAATGTTTGAGCACATTCTGGGGTGTCCGAGATGGGATGTGGGCTGAAATCTGAAGCTGTGAGATTTCAGGCAAATTTGCCTCCTGAGGTCCACCCCAGAGAACTGACCACTTGCCCTCTCCCCTCCAGATCTGGCCATCGTCGATAGTCCTCCTAAGAAGGGCAGGGAAATGCACACCTCGGTGAGTCCTTGTCTGAGTTACCTATTGCCGTGTAATAAAACTACCCCAAATCTAGCAGCTTAATAAAATTATCTCAGTTTCTTGGATCAAGAATGTGGAAGTGGATTAGCCAGGTGGTTCT